CCGATCGCCTCCGCCTCCGCCGCCGCCTCCGCCTCCGCCGCCTCCGCCGCCTCCCTCGCTCGGGCTCGCTCCTGCGCCGCCAGCCGCTCGGCCGTCACCCTCTCGCGGTGCTCGTCGTTGAGCTTGGCGAGCGCCGCGGCGGTCGGGGGCTGGACGCTCGGCCGAGGCGGCGGGGGGGGGAGGGGGCGCGGCTTGGGCGTGTAGGCCACGCCCTTCTTGTGCGCCTTCCTCCACTCCTTGATCTCCTGCTTGCTCGGCTCCCCGTACGCCGGACTCAGAGTCACCGCCGCCTTTGGAACCGCAACCTCGCCGCCGCCGCCGCCGTCGGCGTACTTGACCTTGAGCACCATCCAGTCCTTCTCGTCGAAGCCGACAAACTCGGCGGCGTGCCATGTGGCGCTCCACTGCCGCCGCGCGAGCCGCTCGCTCAGCTTGCTGCCTCCTCCCTCCTCGGCGAGCTCCTCGCCCAGCCCGCGCCTCGCCAGCACCGGCTGGCCCGGGAAGTAGACTCGCGCGTTGTTGGCGGGCACCTGCGGGAAGGGCCCCGGACAGGTCTAGGGAACGTCCCTGTAGGGAAGCACAACCGTCTTGGCGGGCACCGAGTGGGCGCGCACGGAGAGGGCAGGCACCGACTCGAGCCAGCCGGTGGCGCAGCTGGCCGGAGGCAGCGGCGAGGGCGCGGCCTGCCACTCCTCTAGCTTGAGCTCGCGGTAAGTCGGCCTTGGAGGGAACCAGACCACGTACCTCTGCTCGTGCGGCTCGTACTGCACCGCAATCGCAAGCGCGCCCTCGCCCAGCGAGCCATCCGAGCCGCTGCCGCCGGCGCCGCCGAGCGAGGCGAAGGCGCCGACCTCTGCGGCGCGCCGCATCGCGGCGGGCCCGGGCTCGGCCACCACGAAGCGCGAGACCAGGCAGAACGGGTCGGTGTGTGGCGCCGCCACCGAGCGGACAAAGGTGCGCCGCAGCAGCGCGCCCTTGTCGTCCTCCTTGTGGACCAGGCCGTGCGTCAGGCGGCGAAAGCCGTCGTCGACCTTGTGCTCCATCTCCTTGGTCATGTGCAGCACGTACTCGGCGAGCAGGTCGACCGGCGAGATTTGGAGCGACGCCGAGCGGCCGTCTGCAATCGCCCGGAACATCTCCTGCTTCCCCTTCCGCGGCTGGCCTTTCTGCCGGATGGTCTTATCGCCCTTGTCTTCGTACTCGGGCCAGAAGCGGCCAACGTCCCAGAGGTGCGACCGCCGCGGTAGCGTCGCCTTGAGCCTGACAGTGCTGTACTCCGACATCGAAGATGTCAAGCCGCGAGGGACACCCTGGGGTTCCGGCTCCTCCCGGATAGGGGCTCTGTGTGCACTGGCTGGCCCCTCCCAGATAGGTAGGTAGGTTGGTCTTGTTTCGCCCAAAAGGGCCCTGCAATAGGTAGGTACCCCCTATTTTCATCCTTTGCGGCCTGGGGATAGGTAGGTAGGTAGGGCGTTTTGGCGCGAGTCAGTGCACAGTGGGCACAGACCCCCTATCCGGCTAGGAGCCGGAACCCTGCCTGGCAGGAAAAGAAAGTAAATTTTCTTTCTTTCTTTGATTTCAAATGAAAACAGAGAAAAGAAATATTACGTGTATTTGGAATGATTTTACTGTTGTCAGGAGCGCGCGTAACTCGCCTCTTCAGTCTCGGCCGACGCGGGCAGCGGTGGGTGCTGCTGCTCGTGCTGCTGCTGGACTTGCTGCTGCTGCTGCTGCTGCTGCTGCGAGAGGAGGCGCCTCGTCGCTCGTCAAGTCGACAACCTCGGCAAATCTACCGCCACCGCCTCCTCCTCCTCCTCCTCCGCCGCCGCCGCCGCCGCCGCCGCCGCCGCCGCCTCCGCCTGCGCCAACGCCTCCGCCGCCCTCATCGTCGCCGCCTCTGCTGCGCTTCCGAGGACCTTGCAGCGGCGCTGCGGGCGGCAGCCGCTCCGCGACCCAAGCCTCAATGCAGCCTCGAACGCGAGCGTCAAAGCCGACGCCGCTGTGCACCCCTCCGAACTTGGGCGCCACGCCGTCGAACTCGAACGCCCGTGCCTGCAGCTCGTCCCGCCCTCTAGGAAGCGCCTCTAGGAAGTGTCTCGGAAGTGTCTAGCCCGTGCCTGCAGCTCGTCCCGCCCTCTAGGAAGCGCCTCTAGGAAGTGTCTCGGAAGTGTCTAGCCCGTGCCTGCAGCTCGTCCCGCCCTCTAGGAAGCGCCTCTAGGAAGTGTCTAGGAAGTGTCTAGCCCGTGCCTGCAGCTCGTCCCGCCTCTAGGAAGCGCCTCTAGGAAGTGTCTAGGAAGTGTCTAGCCCGTGCCTGCAGCTCGTCCCGCGCGCGCCGCATCCGCTGCACCGCCACCACCTCGTCGGCGGCCGCGTGGACGAGCAGGACGGGTGCGCCTGTGCGGGACGTGCGGGCGTGTCGTGGGCGTGTCTTGGGCGTGCCCAGCCGGCAGTGGGCAGGGGTGGGAGCGGGGGCGACACCGTGTGCGATGTCCCTCTCGCGCACCGAGGCGGGAAGCCACCCCGACACAGAGACGACGCCAGCGAGGCGCAGGCCGGCGGGCAAGCCGAGAGAGTGCCACTGCAGCGCCACCTGAAGCGCCTTTGCGCCGCCCTGCGACACGCCCGCCACCACGACGCGCCTCGCGCCGGCCGCAGCGCACGCACGCAGCGCGCCGGCCACCGCGTGCTCCTCGAGCGCGTCGCCTGACCCGTCGAACCAGTGCGGCTGGTCTTGCGCGGCCCGCAGCGCCGGCCCGATCGGCGCTTGCCACCCGTCGACGTGCGAGAGCCGGCCGCGCCGCCACGCCGCCTGCGCCCCGCTCCACACCTTGCTCGGCCCGAAGGCGCCGTGCAGCCACACCAGCGCCGTGCCGCCGGCCGGAGCGGACGGCGCGCTCGCCTCGGCCGGCGACACGAGCGGCGACGGAACGAGCCCGCGCCGCTCGAGCGCCGCGAGCTGCGCTTGCTGCCGCCGCCGCTTGAGCGACTCCGCGGCATGCGAGCCAGCGGCAGGCGAGCCAGCGGCAGGCGAGCCAGGGGCAGGCGAGCCAGGGGCAGGCGAGCCAGGGGCAGGCGAGCCAGGGGCAGGGGCCGACGGCGACGCCACCCCGGGAGCAGCGCCACCGCTGCCGCCCAGCACACGGCCTGCGCCGCTGAAGGGCTGCGGCTGTGCTGCATGCGGCTGTGCTGCATGCCCCTTTCCCTCTGCTGCCGGCGCCGGCGCGCGAGCCGCCGCCGCTCGCAGCTGAGCGAGCGCCTCCTGCAGGACCCGCGCCGAGGCGTCTCCCACGCGAGGGAGGTTGCGCGCCTGCTCGACCGACGTGATGGGGACCTCGGCGGCGGCGACGATGTTGGCGAGGGCGTAGGCCTTCCGCCCCAGATCCGCGCGTCGGAAGAGGTACCAGTGCAGAGGCAGGTTTACGTGGAGTGGGGCGAGCGACGCAGAGAAGCCGATCGAAGAGAAGTGCACGACCCCTCGCGCGTACTCGTTGCCCGCCGTGCAGTGAACGGCGCGCAGATTGTCGCTGTCGAGCGTCGAGGCCCAGCGGAAGCCTCCGCCGTGCGCGCGCAGTGCCGCGTCCATGGCCTTGCGCAGCGAGTGGATCGGGCCGTCGGCTGCCGCCAGGCACGCCCTCTCGACGCGGTCGGAGAACGGAAGCGAGCGCTTCGCCGCCGCCACCAGGTCTTCCAGGCGCCGCTTCAGCGCCTCTGGGACGAGGCCGGGCTGGCCGCGCGCGCAGGTCTCCGCTGGGTAGTGCCCGAGGATTTCCGGCCGCAGGTAGCAGACCGTGAAGTGCGGCGGAGGGCCGCCGCCGCCGCCGCCGCCGCCGCCCGACTGCACGCGGATGTTGAATGTGGCGACCACTTTCCAGTACTGGAGCGTGCTCGCTTCTCGCGTGAGCAGGCCCTGTCTCATGCCGAGGTTGATCGCCCCGCGCATCAGTGGGACGGGGTCAGAAAGTGTCGGCAGCCCCGGCAGCAAGGTTTGGGATGTAACGCCACCAGGCGCAGAGGACGATGCACCACCGCCACCGCCGGAGGCTGGCACGCTCTCGGGTTCGCTCTCGGGGACCAGGTTTTCTTGTTTGAACGCGGCTCGCGACCTCTCTCCGCACGGAAAGTCGACAACGTACCGCTGCTTCTGGGCTTGGTACTTGACGATTCGAACCTTTGCTCCGTTGAGGTGCTCAGTTTGCAATCCAGTCAAGCGGGCTTCCGAGCCGGGGGCAAGCATACACACCTTGTTCGGCACAGTTGTGGGGTGGGTCGGGCGGACGTGATGGCTGCTTGCACTCGCCGAAGCGCAGGCGAGCAGTGGAGACCGAGCGCAACCCCCCCCTACCAGGTCGCCCAGCTAGTTCGCCTCTCTTTGGAAAAAAGAATTTTCACGGCCGACACTCGACAAGGGAGTGACAAGGGAGAGAACGACGAGAGTGGGACGGCCGCGAGGTGGCATGAAGGTTGCAGCGAGAATCGGCGAGAGACTGCGAAAAGAGATAGGAAGAGGCAGACTCCCTAGGGTGGGCGACGGCTAGCGCATCACACTCCTCTCCTTAAAATCCCTGTGTGGTGGCGGCGTGCCGTCCTCCCATCCCTCCCTTGGGTTGTCTGTTTTCTTTCTTTCTTTCGGAGGGGGCGCGCTCTGGCGCTAATAACACAGGTAAGAAGATCCACACATGATGCCAACACAACCTCTCTCTCACGCTGGGCCGGAGACAGTACTGCTGGTCGTTTGCTCGTCCTGCTCCATCTCGCGATGAGCCACGTACGAGAGGAATCCGCCCCAGCCGCACGCCACGACGGACATGAATGCGATGCGCAGATGCGGCGGCACGAAAACAAAGTTGATCGCGTTGGCCTACGCGGCACAGGCGAGCGGTGAATTTGCACGACAGGGCGGCGCGGCAGTGCGACGGCGTCACCGGCAGCCACAGCATGAAGGAGGTGCAGACGATGCGTCTCACGTCCGCACGCAGCCGCTGATAGGTATCGGACGCCACCTTTGCGCGTCCCGACGCGGCACTCAGACGTCCGGCCAATGCCGCTTCGACACACGAGCTCCAGCAGAGGAAGCTCGGGCTGATGAGGGACGACGAGACGGCTTGGTTCAGAAGGAGCTTCGGCGCGAGCTGGCGGAGCGCGGAGCCTGGCCACACTCGGTCCAGGAGACCGTACCACTTATACAGAGCCGGGCTGACGCCGCCGTTGAAGACGGCCGCCGTCGCATTGCGCTGAGGGTCGAACAGCGCTTGCCGCTCGACGGCTGCTTGCGTGGTGGCGTCGCCGGCGGCCATGACCAGAGCGCCGGTGGCAAACTGCACTGCCACGGGCCGTGACTGCGACGCGCGCAGGTAGCGGGCCAGCAGTGAGGCCATACAGTCGCGACGAAGCCCAGCGAGTTTCTTTTCTGTGTTGTGCGAGGGAGTTTGGTTGTAAGATTCTTTTCTGGCGCCTACGAATTCATGGAATCGAATTCGAGAACGATTTTTCTTGAAAAAAAGGCGAAGCCTTGTGTTCACGATGTACCCGTGTGTGGTCCGGCCAGTGCTCGAGGAAGTGGTGGAGCCGGCGCTCAAGAAGTCGTTCGTGCTGCTGGCTGAGGCGGGCCACAGCCCGCAGGAGCTCATCGATCGACCAGGCCTGGGCGGAGGCCCAGCAGGACGGCCGGGCGCTTCGGTGGCTGCGGCCTCGGCGGGCACGCACAAACGGCGGATGCGAGCTTTGCGGCCGCTGTCCTCTCGGTCTACCCGTCACTACGTGACACCGTCGCACTGCGGGGCATGCCCCTTCTCCCCGGTGGCAGGCAGGGGAAGAGACAGTGCCGATGCTGCAGCACTTTGCGCAGCACTACAATGACATTAGCCAACGGCGTGGCGATGTCGCGCGCATCTACGCGGTGCGTGCACAAGACAAGGAGTTTGGCCTCTGCCACACGTACGAGCTTGGCCGCTTCTGTCGTCCGTCCATGCTGCCGTCGGCGCAGCGCATCCCGCCTATTGGCGACCTCTCTACGCAGCAGAGCACCTCTCCAGTCCCGAAACAGGGCACGCTCGCTGCTGTCGGGGCCCACGAAGCGTGGATCGCGTGCCTGGCGGCGTGCGAGGAGATGGACAAAAACACGCCGCAGTCGGAGGCGATTAAGTCCAGGGAGGCGACTCGCTACATCTCGATCTCCCAGTTCGGCGCCGCTGGATGGCTCGACATGCGCCCTGATGGACTCCACCACACGAAGATGGTGTCGGCGATGTTCCTGACGGCGATACAGCGCAGGCACAGGCTCTACTTGTCGGTGATTGCGCCCACTCTCGTCGAGAAGGCCGCCGCGGGCGTGCACGTCACGGTGGGAGAGTACAAAAGGGCGACTCCCTCGCCAACTCCAACAAAGGCGACCGCACCTCCAAGCACAACGGGGTGCTAAGGGCCGCCCAGAATGCCATCCGGGCGCGCTCGGTTGGCAGCATCATCCTCGGGGAAAGGAAAAGCCCGAGGTGACGCGGCACCTCAAGCTCAACGACACGTCCGTGACTGACATCTGCGAGCTCGGCGGTGACTTCGCCACGATGCGGGACGTGCATTACGAGGTCAAGTGCTAAAACTCGCTCATCAAGTCGACGACGGCGGGGAGGGGCTCGTGGGACAAAGGTGGCAATGTGGCGTCGGTGGGCCACCTCTACGGGTTTGGAAACACGCTGGACAAGGCGTTGCCGGCGGTCGTGGGGTGCAAGGAGCGTGGCCGTCAGGTGGACGGACCGCTCGACCACTCGACTGGAAAGGGATGGGTCAAAGACCACGCGTATGGAAAGGGATGGATCAAGACGGATGTAGGCTCCTGGAAGTGGACGGGGGCGCAGTACTACGACGCAAAGTGGGTCAAGAAAGCCATGACGCGGCTGGTGCTCGTGGAAACTTTGGGTGGCATTGCGCCGCCCACCAAGCAGTTCCTCCACGTGTTCGCCAAGGAAGCGGCGGGCACCAACACGGACCGGACGGTGTACGGGGCGGCGTCGGCGAGCGCCTCCTCCTTCGTCGTCCACCACACGCAGCAGATCTCCATGGCGGCGGTGGCGGGCGACGCCGGAAACATCAACAAGCAGGCGCGCAATGCGCGTGCCGACTGGGTTAAATCCCCTGGGCGTGCCAAATGGGTCAACGACGAAGCAAGCGGCAGACGGACGTCCTCTTAGGACTTAGCCTCGGCCCCACCCAGTGGGGGGCGCCCACGCCGCCTAGCTCCGCGGACGGGCCCCTCCACCCTTCACGTACGGATCATGTAGTCCCCACAATCGCTGTCGTGGGATCGCTTGTCATGTGCCAACAATATACCACACACGCTTTCTTGTGACAGAGTGCGGTGTGTATTCCTTTCTCTGCCCAGTGTCGTGCGAGGACTTAAATTCTCTCTTTTGGTGCCCACTCACACCGGGCAAGCACGGCCAAGGCACACCAATGCCGTCCGCCCCGTTCGAGGATTACTACGAGGTCCTCGGGCTGCAGCGCGGCGCGAGCAAGGCGGAGGTATCGCGCGCGTACCGCAAGCTTTCGCTCGAGGTCCACCCCGATCGGTACAAGGGCCCCGACCCGGACGGCGCCGTCGCGCGCTTCCTCAAGCTGACGCAGGCCAAGGAGGTGCTCGAGGATGACAAGGCGCGGGCGGCGTTCGACGCCGTGGTCGACGCCAAGGCGGCACACCGCGCCCGCCAGGAAGCGCAGGAAGGCGGCCGGCGCAAGATGCGGGAGGAGCTCGAGGCGCGAGAGGCGGCGGCAAAGGCGGCAAAGTTCGCGCCCTCCGCTGCGGCGGCAGCGGCGAAAGAGGAGCGGGAGCGCGAGTCGGCCGAGGCGGCTGCGCGCGCCGAGCTGCAGCGTGAGATCGAGCGGCTGCGTCGCACGGGACGCCTCGACCCCACCCGACCCGCGGCAGCGGCCCCGGCGGCGGCGGCGGCGCCCGCGGCGGCGCCTGCGGCGCAGGCGGCGGGCGGGTCGTACTCAGTGGTGGTGCGCTGGCAGGCCGCCGACGCCTTCACCGAGCAGGACCTCCGTCCGCTGCTGCTGGCGGCCGCGGGGAGCGCCGCTCCCGAGGCGGCCACCTCCATTCGCGCGGCGGCGCTTGCGGTGGCCGGGCGCAAGGCGCTGCTGCAGGTGCCGGCTGCGGTGGCGGAGGCGCTGGTTAGCTCGCGCGCGCTCGTGGACCGGGGCCTGCAGGTGAGCTTCGCCGGAGGCGCCGCGGAGGCCGCCGCCGCCGCAAAAGAGGCGGCCGCGCACGGCGCGGCGCCCTCCGGCGGCCCGCCTGACCAGCTGCCGGAGGGTTGGCGCACGGCGATCGCGCCGGACGGGCGGCCGTACTTTTACCACGCGCCGAGCCGCAGGACGCGGTGGAAGCGGCCGGCTGCCGGCGGCGGCGGGGACCGGCTGAGCCACGAGGCGCTCGAGGTGGCGACGCTCGAGCGGCTGCGCCGCGCGAGCGAGGCGCAAAGGCAGGCGCGCGGGGGGGCGTGACACTTGGCGTGACGAGCTCTCCGACTCGAGAGCGCGTGGCTGCGACCAGGTCTATCCCCGAATGGCTGTCCGGATCCAATCGATGGAGCGTGTCTGCTTGAGCTGATCGTACGCGGGTATGTCGGGTGCTGTCGGAGCTGTCGGGTGTTGCTGTCAGACGCTGTCTGAGCTGTCAGAGCTGTCAGGCTGCTGCTGCTGTCAGACGTTGGGCTGTTGCTGTCAGGTGCTGTCAGGTGGTGCTGTCGGGGTGCTGTCAGGCTCTGACACACACCAGCCACACTTATGACACCATCAAGAGGAGACCAGCAGGGCTCTACTACACATACTCTCAGCCTCTCCTCCTACACGGCGTGATCACGCCGCGACGCCGGCGGTGGCGGCCGCCCCTGGGGAGCGCATATGGCGGCGCAGGCGCAGGCGGCGGCGGCGGCACAGACGGCGGCGGCCACCCCCACCCAGACGCCGTAGGCATATGACTGTAGGGCCCCAGAAGGCTAGCTGGTAGCTTCATTTGTAGTAGCACAGCCGCCGGTGCTAGAGAGGGGTCCCCGCAGACGCGCAGAGGTGTGTGGGACGGGAGGGTTGAGAGAGAGACCCATGACCATCCCATGACTACATGGACCACACTCACATGTCTTTGCATGTAATAGTTTTGTTATACCCTCATGGGGCACAAGAAAGAGGCTCTACGGGGTCTGACTGTGTGTACGGTCGTGCTGCTGTCGGGGGCTGTTTCAGCGCTGCTGTCAGGCCACTGTGTGCTGTCGGGCTGTCGGGCAGCTGTCAGGCTGTCACGTTAGGGCCTGAAAGCGACGGAGCACCTCGACTGTCAGACTCTGCTGTCAGGCTGTCAGATACGTGCTGTCAGACTGTCGGAGAAAGTGCTGTCGGCGCTGTCACGTGTCAGGTGTCCGCACCTGCGTGTTCACGTGTCAGGCTGTCGGGCACTGTCAGGCGCTGTCCGGGGTTTGCTGTCAGGCTGTCAGACCAGGGCTCAGGACACTGTGAGACCATGGATGTGAGGTCAAAATAAGATGAAGTTAAAGAATATGCGCGGCAGCATTCCGCCGGCCCCGGTGTACAGTGTGCTAGCGATCCGAGCTTTCTGCGCGGTGCATGATCCGCTCACGTCTCATTCTCACAACCCACCGTCGGCCCGCTCGAGCCGAGAGTCGGACTGGCAGTCGCGCGGCGGCGGGGGAGGAGGGGGAGGGGGGGGGTTCTGCACACGGCACTGCTGCGGGGCTCGCCCTTCCCGAGGCGTGGCTCGTCCCTCCCCCTCCGACCGCTCAGCCTCTCCCGACTGGCACCGCCAGCTGAGCCTCGGCGTCCACGCCCACGTACGAGCAGCAGAACGCGTGCGCCTCGAGGCGGAGGCTGCTCCCTGCGGCCCGGCCCGGCACCTTGATCGCAAACTTGGCGACGTGCTCCGCGCCGGGCGGCGCTGCCACGCCGACCAAGCCCCGCAGCCTCGCCCCTCCCGCGTCGGAGAGGCAGAGCAGCCACGCCTCGGCGGAGGGTGGCGAGCGAGGCGCGTGAACCGGGCAGCCGGGCGCGCGCTCGTGCGGCAGGCTCAGGCAGACCTCGACGGTGAGCCGGTCCCCGGGCAGCGTCTCGCCCCCCTCCTCCTCCTCGCCCTCCACGTAGGCGCGCGCCGACAGCTGCGGCCGCGGCATCACGCGGCAGAAGGAGCGCACCTCCGCCTCCTGCGCGCCGTCGAGCCCGGCGCTCGAGAGGAGCGCCGCCCTCGCCCCGTCCGCCAGCGCCGCCAGCCGCGCCACCGCGGAGCCGCCGCAGTCCGGCGCGTCGCTGGCGGTGGCGCCGCCGCTCCCCCTCTTCTTGCCGCCCGCCTTCTTGCCCTTTCGCTTGTGGCGGGCTCGGCCCGCGCCGCCGCCGCCCTCCGCCTCCGTCCCCATAAGGGCCGCCTCCGCCTCCGCCTCCGCCGCCTCTGCAAAGGAAGCCTCCGCCCCGGCTGCCGCAACCTCCGCCTCCTCCGCCGCGGGCGCCGCCATCGCCGCCGCCACCGCCACGGCGGCGCGCGGCGTGAAGTGCGGCGCCTGCAGCAGCGTGTCAAAGGGGCGCGGCTTGCGGAAGGGCACCGCCTGGGTGAGGCAGGAGCGCAGCTCGGCGAGGTCCCGCACCGCACCGAGCGGCTGGTCGAGCCCGCCCTCGCAGAAGCCCTCCGCCGCCGCGGCCGCCTCGGCGAAGGACTGCAGCGCGCTCGGCGCCTCCTCGAGCAGCGCCTGAAGGCGTGGGCGCCACTCGGCCGCAAGCTCGCGCCGCGCCAGGTGCAGCGCGAGGAGAGACCACGCGGCCGCCTCCGCCGGCTCCGCCGCCGCCAGCTCCGCGCCGAAGCGCTTCTCCTCCCCGCCCTGCCCGTCCGCCTCGCGCAGCTCCGCCGCCTCGGCCGCGAGCGGGCCGGCGAGCGAGGCGAGGGCCGGCGGCAGCGGCTGCGCGACGGCGCGCGCGAGGGCGAGGAGGAGCGACTCGCGCGACGGCCGGGCCGCCTGCCTGGCGGGGTGGCTGGCCGTCTGCCTGGCGGAGCCTCCGCCGAGTGCGGCGCCGACGTAGAGCTGCTGCGCCTTTGCCTGCGCCGCCTGCTTGGCGGCCGACTCGCGGCCCATGGAGCGGAGCCGGAGGAGGGGCCAGCACACCACCACCAGCAGCAGCGGCCCTAGCACGTACGGCCGCTCGAGCAGCTCCGGCGTCGCAAAGCCAACCTGTTGGTACTGCCCGGCGCCTCGCTCAAACGCCTCGCGCGCGGCGTCGTCGGTCAAAATCTTGTGCGCCTTGGCAACCTCGACGAAGCGCTCGTGCGCCCGCGGATCCGGGTTCTTGTCCGGGTGCAGCGTCGCCGCGAGCCGCCGGTACGCCGACCTGATCTCGGCCTGCGTCGCGCCCGAGTCGACGCCGAGAGCCTCGTGCGGGTCAAAGGTGGCGGCGGGCGCGCCGCCGGCGAGGAGGAGATACCCCTCGGCGAGGACGAGGACGAGGTAGAGCGCGTTGAGCGCCGTCGAGTGCCGTTTTAAGCGGCTCGGCCGCCGCCGGACGGCGCAGCTCACAACCTCCGAGTCCGCGCCGAAGCCGAGCTTGCGCCACGCGGCCGCCTCGTCGGAGCTCGCTCGAGTCAGCTTGATGAGCGTCCACGGGAGCAGGACGGTGGTGCAGAAGGTGAGGAGGAAGATGGTGGACGTGTCCTCCTCGCTCTCTGTCGCCATCGTGGAGGTGCCACTCGGTCGCTCAGCACCCTGAGCGGCGGCACAAGAAGAAAAATAAACCACGGAGTGCTCCAAGTACCTGACGTGTGAGGCGTGCAGTGTGATGTTCATTAGCTCCGAGTAGAGGGGGCGTCCTGCAGTTAAGGGGAAACCCGGTACGCGGGGCCAACCCTCGCAGACCCGTGTTTACTTTACGGCCCTTTCCCTGCGAACGCGCACCCCCCCTAGGGGTCAGGGCTCTCTAGCCCGTAGCCCGATGCCGATCATCCGGCCCGCTGGGTGCGCTTCTGAGCTCCCCGGCCCTGGATGTGAGGCTGCTGACTGCACTCCAAGTGCTCCAAGAGAGGGCTGTGGCGGTAAAGTCGACGGTGACGATAAAGACGGAAGAGGTGGCGATGGAGAGGGCGAGCTGGACGAGCTGGATGAGGGCCGGCCGTGTGGAACGCGAGAGTGGCACCGGCTGTGCACGCCGGGGTCTCGAGAGAGAGAGATTTTTGAAGACCAACAAGAAATCACGACTCTCACAGAGATTTGGGCTCGGCAGCTTGTTAGCCCTCAGCCGAAGCTGGGGCCGGTCCCGTAGCCGAGAGAGCCCGCGCCGATGAGTTCGACGCGGTCGGGGGGCCTTGTGGAGAGGCCAGCGAGGTGGCGATCGCTGTACTTCATGGGGGTCATCAAGTGACCGCGACTGACAAGCCAGAGGTCGATACTCTGGACGACCCATTGACCCATAGGATGCCACGAATGCCTGGAGGAGAGGGAGGCGAGGCCAGAGGCAGACTCAGCTGCTCTCGGGTGATCTCGCTTTGGTGGCCGAAGGACCCGATGGTCCTGTCACATTCGCGTTCCGAGTCGTGGGGGTAGAAGAATTCGAGGTAGAATCGAGTCAGCACATCCTTGTAGTACAGCGGACCGCCAGGCTCGCCGGCAGCATCCGCAGGGAGGCAGTATATGAGGCACCAGTCTTCTGGAGAGCTCAACAGCTGCGGCCACGATGGCGGAGTCGGCCGCGGTTCGAACGAGCAGCTTTTGGCTGCGGGATCGAATCGCGGAAGGCTCATGCCCTCGCGGAGCGACGCGGGTCGCGCGGCGCGCGCGTGTGCGAAATGCGACAACAGACGACAGATGACAGACGCCTGAGCGCTGTACGACTGAACGACCGTCGCCGCAATCGCCACCGCCGCCATCTTGACGAGCAGCGCGAGCGCGCTCGTCGGCGGCCAGCCGTCGCGGGCCGGGCCGAGCCCGGCCTCAACCGGCCGCGCCGCCGCAGCAGGCCCGGAGGCCCACATGGCGGCCGACCAGCTGATAAGGAGGTTCTCGAGTCAGGCCGAGGTTGTCGTATGTCGGTTGTTGTCGGATGTCGTCGGCCATGGTTGACGGCACTGCACGTGCCGGGTACCGATCCATCATGGGTCACCACGTTTGATTGCGGGAGCACGAGGGCTCCCACTCGCGCCCGGCGGCGCGCGGAGGAGGCCGAGAGTATAGGCCAAGTACAAACAAGAGCAGAAAGAGAGCAGCTACGATACGACCGCAGTTCGGCAGAGCCGAACTAGGAGGAGACGCGTGACACAATCGAGGGACGAAACTCATGTGAGACAGAGGGTCACGCGGGACAGGAGTAAAGTGCCAAAGGGGGCACCACAGAGAGTAGTTACTATCCGCATTCCAACGGCGCCAGCGGCGCAATCTCGGGGGACTTACATTGAGGCGCTCCGCAACCAGAAGGGTGTCGGCGAGTGGAGCGTGGAGCAGCTGCAGCAGCTCCGCGACACGGCACACGGGCGCGTGCTCCTACCTCATGGCGCTGCGGGCTCGGCGGCGCAGTAGAGGGAGGGGCCGAGGGACCATACCCCCCCATCCCTGTCGAGGGCTAGTCTTGGGCGGTCAGGACCATACCCCCCCCCCACCCTTCGGGCCGTACCATACCATACCCCGCAAAAAGTTGGAACCAAGTGGGCGGGAGAGGACAAAGGCAGCAGCCCAACCGCGATATCGTATCCAGCATCATGTACGGCGGAGGCGCTTTCGGGGGCTACGACGCGGGCGGGTTTGGCGGCGGCGGCCAGTTTGGCGGCGACCAGTTCGGCGGCGACCAGTTTGGCGGCGGCGGCGGCTTCGTGGCGGGGGTGCGCGCGCCCGCTCCTCTCGACGGCACACGCACACGCGCACCCGGCTGACCGCGGCGCGGCGCGCGTGCGTGCGGCAGGGTGGGGACCAGTTTGGTGGCCAGGCCTACCAGCAGGGCAGCCAGGGCGCGGCGGGCGGCTTCAACGTGGACAACAGCGGTCCCGACGGCAAGGTGGCTTTGCGCACACCCACAGCAGCCGCGGCCGCTGGTTCGCCCACAAGCTCACCCCGCCCCCTCGGATGCCGCTCGCCTGCGCCGCGCAGGCGAAGAACGCCAAGGAGAAGCAGTCGCTGCTGCCTGTCACCATCAAGCAGCTGAAGAATGCTCCCTCGGCCGCGTCGGGCGAGCAGAACTTCACCGTTGACGGACACGAGCTGCACCAGGTCACCATCGTGGGTCTCATCATGACCGCCGAGGAGCAGAACACGAACCTGCAGTACACCATCGACGACGGCACCGACGACATCATCGTCAAGATGTGGTGCGCCTCGCAGCCGCCATCCCCCTCCCGCCGCCCCTCCCCTCTCCCTCTGAGGGGAGGCGGCCGCAGAGCGCCGAGGGCGAGGCTGCCCCCCGTTCCCTCCACCCCTCCGCCTCGCACCCGCCTCCCCGCGGGCCCGCAGGGTGGACCAGGAGTCGGAGGAGCTCATGGTCCAGCGGCGCGCGGAGTGGCGCGAGGGCAAGGTCGTCCGGGTCGTCGGCCAGCTCCGCATGTTCAACAACTCGCGCTCGATCGTGGCGTACAACATCCAGCCGCTGGCCGACTTCAACGAGTACACCTTCCACTTCATCGAGGCGGCCCGCCGCCCGCCACACCCGCGACCCGCACCCGCACCCGCACCCGCAACCTCCCCCCCCCCCCCCCCCTCCACAAACTCCATGTACATACTGTCGCGCTTCGCGCAGCCACCATCTCTTGTGCCTGATGGTTGACCCGTGTGAGCCGTGGGTCCTGGACGAGCGAGCGGCCGGCGCGTCTGTCACACACAGTGTGAGCGCCGGTCCTGTCCGGTGTGCGCTGTCGCTCTCCCAGCCGGCGGCGCGCGCGGTTGGCCGGAGTGTTCTCTCCTCCTCTGGTGTTTGGTACTACGTTTTCTTTGACACTGAACACATGTAAGACCGCTCGATGGTCGCGATCATGGACGTCAACTGACAACTCAAAAGCAGCTCTCAGACACAAAACCGCACGACCAAGCACAACTCAGAGGGAACACCGCGCGGAGATATTCACGCACACACACACACACAACGGGTGCGTCCTCAGCCTTGAGTCCTCCGGGCTGATGTCCTCTCCCTCACGGCACCACTCCCCGCAGCTGCCCCGCCCCCCTCCTCCCCCTTCCCCCCGAGCCAGCCACTCGCGCCCCCGCCTCGAGGGCGGCGACCTCGCCCCCTCCCTCCTCCAGGAAGGGAGGGGGGAGGAGGCGCCGCCCCAGCCGGGGGCCCCTGCCGCCCCCCCGCCCGCCCGCCTCCCCTACAAGAAGACCCTACAAGACGACGAGGTCGTCGTCGTCGTCCGAGGAGAGGGGCTCCGCCTCCTCCGCCTCGCTGCCCGCACGCTCGTAGCAGAGCACGCGCGCCTCGGCGATGCTGAAGGCGGAGAGGGAGGAGGAGCCGACGCGCGCGCAGCCGGCGCAGAGCTCGTCGAACTCGTCCGCGCTCCCGCACAGGAAGCCGAACGCCAGCGACGGGTCGATGTCCCCCACCCGGACCGACCTGAGGCCTCGCCCGTAGTGGCAGGAGGCGACGTCGGGGTCGTCGGGCCGCAGCGCGGGCTGGACCTCGTGCGGGTCGAGGTAGAGCAGCCGCTCGCCTAGAGGCGCAAACCCTCGCCTCACGCCCCCCCCTCCCCCTCTCCCTCCCCCTCCCCCTCCCCGTGCGACTCGCGCGGGCTCGCCTTGGCTCCCAATAAAGTAGTACGACGAGCGCGGCCGTCCTCCGATGACTCCGACGCACTGAGGCAGCCGCAGCAAGCCGAGGATGGTTGGCACGTACTCCGCGTTGAGCCGGTCGAGCCCCAGCCGCAGGGGCACGAGCAGCAGCAGCGGCCGCCACCCGCCTCCGCCACCACTCGCCGCCGCGACAACCTCGTCTCTGTACACGGACCCATCCATCGCAACGTGCAGCACCACGCCCGGACCGCACCGCGCCGCCGCCGCGCCGCCCGCCGCCGCGTCCCCCGCCGCCGCGTCCCCCGCCGCGGCCCCCTCGCCGGCCGCAGCTTCGCGCGCGCGGTCCGCCAGCCGCACCAGCACCTGCGCGATGCTGGCCGGCCCCATCCACCGCCCGACCGGCAGCCCCTGCGCCTGGCCCTCGAGCGTGATCCGGTGGAGCGAATAGGGTGCGGCGAGGCAGTCGGCGAAGAGCGCCACCGTCGCCGCCTCGCGCCGCTCGAGCGACGCGCCCGCGCCGCCGCCGCCCGCGCTCAGCCGCAGCAGTGCTTGCGCGAGTATCATCTGCCCGCTGCGCATCATGCAGCCCCAGCCGGCGTCGCTCGTGAAGACCGTGCCCGGGATCGGCTCAAAGTGCTGCCGGTACGTGAACCAAAGGCACGCACGCACGCAGGCCTGCACCTCGGCGGTCGCCTCAGCAGAGGCCTCCACCACAGTCCCCAAGATGTGGATGGGCGAGTCGGGCTGCACGGCGTCGCTCGACTCGGGAAGGAAGCGCGCGAGCCGGTACGACGCCTCACGCGCAGCGGACCTGAGCCAGACCACGGTCGAGCTTTCCAACATGTCTACTCGGCCGCCCGCGCCGAACGAGCCCAGTCCCTTTCGGAAAACGAGTAACTGCGCACCTAGGAAGAGGTAGACGCCCGAGGGTGGGCGAAGGATAGCACCGCACTTATCTCCTTAAAATCCCTGTGTGGTGGCGGCCCGTCCTCCCATCCTCCCTTTTTTGGCTGTTTCCTTTCTTTACAAGATCCGTACGTGAAGGGTGGAGGGGCCCGTCCGCGGAACTATAACAATCTCGGAACTATAGGATCCCCCCCAATGAACACTCCCTCCACGGGGCTGTTGGCGCAGGGGGAGGTGTCAATCACGCTCCCGGGACGCCGGAGAGATCGGGTTGGCCTCCCCCGCCTCAGCCCTGACCCGACGGGGACGCCACCACCCTCGCCCAGGGATCTACAATGCTGTCTTAAGGTCCGACAGGTTCGGCACCGGGCACCGCCTCGGTATACAAAATGCGCCTGCGGGCCTCAAGTGCTCAAGGTAGGCGGCGCGGGCACCCCCACAGTGGCCGAGCGTAAGAAGCCGTTGCCGTTTGTTTGCTTGTTCTTGACCCAATTGGCACGCTCAGGGGAGTTGACCCAGTTGGTACGCATCTTGCGCGCCTGCTTGTTGATGTTGTCGGCGTCGCCCGGGCCACACCGCCGCCATGGAGATCTGCTCTCTGGGGGGAGGCTAGGGGGGAGGCGGGGGCCCCCGGACGGGGGCACCGTGCGCCGCGCCGCAGTGCGGAAACGGGGCCCCGGCGCTCACAGTCGCTCATACTACCGACTTCCCGATCTAACCCGGTCTAACAGAAGGCAGATTTGGAGAGATCTCCGAGGAGTACATACAGATAGACCCTCTAACCACATAAGAAAACACTAACCTGATCGGTCGTACGACGTACCGTGACCGCCGACATACTACACGCGGCCGGCCGGGCGAGAGGCTTGACACGATCCGACCCTGCGACCCTGACGCTGCTGCTCTAGCTATCAGCCATGCACAGCTGACTGCTGCCACAATGTGCGACCTGTGCTGGCCCCTTGGCGGCCTTCCCGGTCAGTGGTGAGGCGCAGTTCAGAGCTGTCGATGGCGCGATGCCGCACTGGTCCCACATTGGTGACACGAGAGTGACCACCAAGTTTGCCGGTCCAGAGAGAGGCACCGGCGCTGTCCTGAGAAGGTGCATGGTCCCTCTTGACTGCCCATGCGCGCGAGGCTGCGTAGGCATAGCCTCGAGAGTGCCAGCAGCCAATCCGAGGCGACACGCATTGCGTCAGAAGCGTGCACGCAGCTGGAAGGACACCTTCCTACTGGCCGTACGATCAGGTCGTCACTGAATGCTGGATACTAAGGCCGCGAGCTATGCATGTGAGGATGTAGAGGATGTAGGGTGTAGAGCGCTGTAGAGATGTAGAGATGTAGAGCGCTCTGGAGCGCTGTAGAGCTCTACAGCTCTACATCCGCCGCGGGACGATGCGGGTGCGTTGTAGAGCGATGTAGAGCGCGATTTTGCTGCAGAGTTTGTTTGTAGAGGCTCTACAGCCTCGAGCCAACCCGCCGGGAAGGCAGTGACTCAAAGAGGTCGAGCCGCGCTAATGGGGTGTCTCCGAGCTTACTGGAGCTCTGATGGACAGCCCTGACTATCCCTGACACACAGAGAGTCACTGCCGTCGGGGAGAGGGGGGACGACACTGCGTTGGCAGCGTGCACCTCGATCCTGTACCGTGTTTGTTATGACCCCCCCCAATGAACACACCAGTGAGGGAGGGCGAGACGATCGAGGGGTCCCGTACCATGCAATGGTTGGGTAGTAGGGCTAGAGGGTCGCTCTACACTTAGCCTCTGCAGCGAGCGAGCGCTCAACTTAGCCCCCGCACGGAGCCGGGCTCAGACTTAGACGCTGGAAGGCCGGGGGCCATGAACTTAGACGACACGAGGCCAACTCCGGGTAAAACCTGCAAAAGTCCAGGTTTACCCGAAAAATACCTGGACGCGGTCCCGACCAGCGTATGCCGCGCACGACGCCATATCGCCGTCTCCCAGGGCCAGTGCGCTACTTGCGGCGCGCAACGCCTGCTCAAGTACGCGCACCGTACCATGTGCTGCCGCTATGCGTGCCTTAAGGCGGCTGCGGCGAAGCGGCGGGCGCGGCATGCCGATGGCAGTGCGGACGATGCGGTTGCGATGTGTTCTGCTTCAAGATCGTGGCGGTGCTTGGCATGCACTTCTGCGATCCCAATCAGCTCATCGCAACGAAGCAGCGCAACAAGCTGGCTGCTGCCAACAAGGCCCTATGCTACCTCACGCGCGGATCGTTCAAAGAGGACCAGCATACACAGGCTTCTCTGACATGCGTTTGTTTGAGCTTGAGGCTATTTGTGAGAACTATTTGGCTAGATGTCGCCGAAGTGCGCTCAAGAAGCAGCAACGAGAATCGGAAGAGGAGGATGCTGAGGCGGCGATTGCTGAGCATGAGGAGGATCGATCGCCCGCCGCGCAGGCGAAGAAAATTTGGGCGCGAGCGCCGTATATCGCGTGCCATGGCCGACTTAGCCGGTGTAAGAGGCTCCCGCTGATCTTAGACCGCGTAAGCACTCCAGCGTGGCTAGCCACACTTAGACCCGTTAAGCCGCGAGGCTCAGAACTTAGACTACTACCCAACCAGTTACCATGCGGAATCGACCCTATCCGGTGCTCAAGTGCTCAAGAAGGTGCGTGGTCCCTCTTGACTGCCCATGCGCGCGAGGCTGTGTAGGCATGGCCTCGAGAGTGCCAGCAGCCAATCCGAGGTTTGTGACGCGCATTGCGTCAGAAGCGTGCACACGATGGAAGGACACCTTCCTACTGGCCGTACGATCAGGTCGTCACTGAATGCTGGATACTTAGGCCGCGAGCTATGCAGCATGGCACGGTCAGCAGCCAGTAAAAAACTACCTTCTATTCCAAAAGTTATTTAACAACATGCCGGTTTCGTATATCGCGGCGAACGATCGGAAGGGTGCCGCCTGCACTCAAATGGAGCCCTGTCTGTGATGTGGGACCTCACTCCCAGAAGCTTGGAGCTTCAGGCCGCGACCACGTGGCTAGGTGGACACTAAAGTGCCATTTTGGCGCCAAATCTTGGCGCGAAATGACACGTGTCTTGGCGGGAGAGTGGTGTGGCTGCGCCGCTCGCCAGCGCTGCTGTTGAGCGCCAGCTGCTGCTCCCTTCAACCAGACGGCCGGGCCTGCGCAGCACGAGCGCTGGCCTTCCTCCTGCACCACAGGAGCGCGCCAAGGCGCGCGTCTGGGCAAGCAGTGCGTCTCATCGCGATGCGAGAGTCGACGCTGTGACGCCGCCGCTCGCCGGCTAGAATGACAGTGGCAGCATTCGAGTACGCGTCGAGCTGTGCGTACCAACCAGCACTTGTATGCGAGCTTATTGTGTCCCTGAGCTACTGTGGGGTGCGTGGGCTCAGCTGCGGAGCACGTACTGGGCGGCGGTAGGGGGGTCCTGCTAATAAACTTTTGCAATAGACTAGTGTGGACCTGCGGCGTGTTGCCTTTTCTCTGGCCGTTATGTTTCTTCACGTAAGCGGGTAACTCACTGATCCTCCACCGGATCCGACTTTCGACAGTGCTGGCAAAGCGCATCGCGCAGCCGCACGGAGTCTCCGACAGCCACGCACAGCCTCACGCTCACTGTGGTTGAGACTTTCATGCACATGCAAACTCGCAGGTCAGGGTCTCTGGCCACATGCGAAAGGAAAGGCTCATCAGAACGGATTCGTTTGCACGCCGTGCAGAAGCTGGTGAGGTATGGCATGCCAAGATAATCTCCATCGCGATTGCTATCCAACGTGCCATCTCCAACCCAGTCCTCAGGCACGTGGTCGCCACCGCTTGGAGGCCAGATCAGATTCGTAAAAAGAACTTTTCTACTGAATTTTGCACAAAGAAAAGGCCCTCGTTAAAATTGCGGCAACACACCAAACATGCTCAGGTCTTGCCGTCTTTGCCGTGCCACATTGTACTCTTGCATCTTCTGGATCAATCTATCCGGTAGCCTGTAACGTTTACGCCGGCCGTGCACTCTGCAAAAGGGCACCAGTCCGCTGGCGGGTGTGTTGCACTCGTCCGTGGGTGGGCCGCCAAGCGCGAGATCCTCCTGAGAGAGCGGCTCAAAAGGCTCCAGGACGCATCCGCACACGCAGTAGCCTGCTGCAGCGCGTTGCTGCACGCCCAAGACAGGGTCAGGGTCAAGTGAGCCGGGTATGGGCTTGAAGCTCAGGCTGGGCAGCAGCCACCGCAGCGTGGCCAGTGCACCGATGCGCCGAAACCCGGTGGCTGATGCTCCAGTCCCACAGCCGCGTCGTGTAGCGGACTCGACCGCCACCGCCATCAGTGCGCTTTCCCACTGCTGGGAGCCATCTGGCTCATGCGAAGCGGCCCACTCCTTGATTGCGAGGCACAGCCAATGGTCATAGTAGTTATCCCCTCGCACGCTGCTAAAGAAGCCAGTGGTCCGCCAATAGTCAGAATCTCGCAGCGCCTCATCGACGGCCTTGAGCAGCGCCACCTGCTCATCGAGCCGCCGAATCCGCATGCGCTCCTCATAATAGCTTGTCACCGTGAGCTTGGCCACGTCACGCCGCCGCTGCGACCGCTCGCGCTCCCTCTCCATTCGCTCCTTGGCGGCCTTGACTGCCTGCAGCCCTACCACGGGGAAGCCTTGTGTGGTGATGGTGGGTGGGGCGGGGAGGGATGGGAGGCAAAGCCACCCCCGGCATGCCTGCTTCAGGAACCATCTGGCTGGAGGTGGCGCCGGCAGCTCCAGCAGCGGCGCTCTGTGTAGTCGCCGAACCAATGCTCGCACTTGCCATCATCGCCGTGATCGCTCGCGCATCCCTCTTGCGCTCGGCGTCTTCGCTCTTGGTCCGCCTCGACATCTTGCGCCTGGTGTCGCGAGCAATACCATACATGCCCATGGCGAGCTCGTACGCCTGCTGGTCGCCACCTTCCGGCGGCGGCTTTGGCCTCTTGAGCCGTGGCGGGCCAGCGTGCACACGGCCGCTATGTGTCACGGCAGGTGTCGCTGCGGCCTTGCGCTGGCGCTTCAGGGAGGCAGATGGCTCCTTCTCCGCCGCCCGCAGCAGCCGTGCATGCTGCTGCTTTCGATCGCGCCACTGGTCCCGCCGGCTGCTCCCGCTGTCGCCGCTGTCGGGGGGGAGCCGGCGTTCGGTCCATTTGGCAAGCCAGCGATTCTGCTCGGCATGCCATTTTTTGTCGGTCTCGTAGTTGACTGAGTGGGGGGGCGGTCCCGCCTCCACGGCTGCTCGAATCTCGTCCGGGTTCAGCCGTCGCTTGGCCATTGGGCGGAGCTGGTGGTGCAAACGACCGAATCGGTGGGACGGTCGGAAACTGGTGGCGGTGAGACTTATAGGGTTAGAAGGTAAACTATTTTGGATGCACTTGGATGCACTTGGAGCACTTGGACTGCAGTCATTAACCGCACATCCAGGGCCGCAGAGGAATTCTTCTTTCCCGGCCCCGAGCCACGGCTGAGCGCGGCGGCGGCGCGGAAGAGCGCGAGAGCGCGGTCGCGCCGCTGGGCGGCTCGTGGAAGCAGCAGCAGCACCACCACCACGCTGCCGCCACGCATGACCCTAACGCTGCTTCTCATGTTCGGCCTGAAGCAGCCAGCCTTGGGCCTCTCGCTGCCGCAGCACAGGCTGTGGGCCGGTTGTCGCTTTGCGTCGCTGTCGATGCTGGCCCGGCGCAGCCGCCGGCGAGGCCCCGCAGCGGTCCCACGGCCGCCGCGAGTGCTGCAGCGCAGCGATAGCGGCGTGCCGGAGATTGCCGCGTGCCATCCGGAGCAGTACGATAAGCTGCTGTCCAGCAAGGTGGCGAGCATGGTGCAGCTCGTCACCGGCGCTGTCGCCGCCGGGTCATCGTCGGCTTCCGAGCCGCAGACGACGGAGCTGCCCGCGATCGAGGTGTTCGAGTCGGCTCGGACGAACTTTCGCATGCGCGCCTCCTTCCAGATCTGGCGAGAGGGCGCGGGGCTGCACTACGTCATGTTCAACCGAGGAGACTCGCGCACGCCTCACGAGGTTCCCAGACCCTCGGCACAGCACCGACCCTCGGCACACTGCCTGGGCTCAGTGCCTCGCTCCCTCGCGCCTCGGCTCGACCCCGAAGGGCTGTGCACGGCGTCGTCACAGCCGGCGGTGTGTCGACAGGTGAGGACGTACCCGATGGGCTCTCCGAGGCTCAGCGAGCTGATGGGCCCGCTGATCGAGGGGCTGGCGGCGAGGGCGGAGCTGTGCCCAGCCGGGACGACGACGAGCTCCGTACGTGAGGGCTGGTGCGCGTCGACTAGGCGAGCGAGGAGCTGCGCGACAAGCTGAACGACGTGCGCCTCCTCACGACCTCCACGGGCGACGCGCTGGTCACGGTCACGTACAACCGGCCAATCGGCGGAGGCGCGTGGGAGGCGGCGGCGAGGGAGCTGGCGGAGGCGCTGGGCGTGTGCGTCGTCGGCCGGTCGCGCAAGGTAGTGACGTGCGTCGTCCGCTGGCGTGAGACAATGGAGGAAATTTAAGTTCCCCGCTTTACTCAGGTCAAGGTAGTGATCGGGTGCGAGACGGTGGAGGAGCGGCTGTCGGTGCCGGGCCGCGGCGAGTGCGTCTACTTGCAGACCGAAGGGGCCTTCACGCAGCCAAACGCGCAGGTGTGCAGCGCCATGCTGGGGTGGGCGGTTGACGCGACGCGCGGGCTCGACGGCTCCCGGAGCGAGCTCGACTGCGGCGACGGCCGGACAGGTGCGGGACACGGCCTCGACGCGTGCGATTAGGCTCCGACCTCTGCGAGCTCTACTGCGGCAACGGCTGCTTCACGGTCGCGCTCGCGCCAAACTTTCGGCGCGTCGCCGCGGCGCGGGGTCTCCCGAAGGCTGGGCATGTCCATGTCCGCGACGCGAGGCATGTCCCGCAGGCGGGTCGTCGCGACGGAGATCTCGAAGGCATCTGTCGCCCTCGCCGAGGCGAACCTCAAGGCCTGCAAGCCCCTCCTTCCCACCCTCCCCGCCACCCCGCCTCCCCGCCTCCCCGCCTCACCCTCCCCGCCCCCTCTCCCCCACCCCCTCTCCCCCGCCCCCTCTCCCCCACCCCTCTCCCCCGCCCCTCTCCCCCGCCCCTCTCCCCGCCCCTCTCCCCGCCCCTCTCCCCGCAGGCTAACGGCGTCTCAAACACGCGCGTCGCGCGTCTGTCTGCCGAGGAGTTTGTCGAGGCGCTCGCCGGGGGGCGCCCCTTCCGCCGGCTGGACGAGGCCGGCGTCGAGCTCGCATCGTAAGACAGAAGCCTGTGCCCCCTCCTCCCCCTCCTGGTCGGTTCGCGTAACTCGATGAACTAGTTCGTCCGGTTGTGAATGAAAGGTGGCACATGCTGCTCGTCGACCCGCCCCGCGCCGGACTCGACCAGACGAGCCGCGCCCTCGCCGCAACCTTCGCGCGCGTCGTGTACGTCTCCTGCAACCCGGAGACGCTGGCGCGCGACCTCGCGCAGCTGAGTGCGACGCACACCCTCACGCGGCTCGCCGCCTTCGACCAGTTCCCGTACACGCCTCACCTCGAGTGCGGCGTCGTCCTCGAGCGGCGGCCGGCACGGCCGGCGGCGGCCGGCGGCGGCGGCGCAGAGGACGAGACGCCAGCGCCTTCATCGGAAACGCCAGCGCTGCCCTGCGAGGCGGAGGCCGCGGCTCGCCACCTCAAGGTGGGCGGCGAGGCGGCGCGGCTCGAGGCGTTCGGCCCCGTCGTCGTGGGCGAGTCGGGGCAGCTCCGCTACATCGCCAACTGGGAGAGCATGAGCGAGGGGGAGAGGAGCGCGGCGCAGGAGCTCCTCGCGAAGCGCAACGCCGCGCGGCTGAAGAGGCTTCGCGGCGGCGCCTTCCGGGCTGCACCGCCCCGCCGCAGCGCGCTCGCCGCCGCCGCCGCCGCCGCCCTCCCCTCCAGGCCCCTGTGGGCAGCGGAGTGCGGCGGAGCGTCGCAGCGGGCATGCGGGGAGGGACCGCCAGAGGGGAGCGGGGAGGGGCGCGAGCCGTGGCAGAGGCAGCCTTGGGCCAAGCCCGCGTTCGCCGCCGTGGGACTCCTCTCCCTCTTCCACGGCCTTTTGCCCGCCCCGAAGCCGCCGCCGGCGCGAGGAGGAGGGCCGCGATCGCCGCCTCCTCGGCTCAGCCTCGACGAGCCGCCGCCGCGTGCGAGCCGGAGGGACGCCACTTCGACGACGGCTGCGCTCCTCTCGTGCGCGCTGCTCGCTCCCTCCATGCCGCGCGCCAGTAGTGCGGCAGAGTGCGACGAAGCGTGCGCGAGGCGCATCGCGGAGCGGCGCGCGCTCTTTGAGCAGTCGCGCACGACCGCCGACCGGAGCGTGATCCTCGAGCTCTCGCGGCAGCGGGCTGCCCTGTACAACACCACCTTTCGAGGTGCGTCGTGCGTCCCTGGGCTGCCGTGCTACTAGTCGGCTACTAGCCGGGGAGCGGGGCCGTCTCCCGACACGGAGGTAAGCACTTAGCGCCGTCGCGGTCCACGTTGCCCCTCGGGTGTCCCTGCTAGCTGCTGCCACCATGCTCCTGATTCGATCTCTGATCTCTCGTCTCGAACCGACATGTACGTCCCGTCACGCATAAAATTCCGCCTGCGGCCTGGCTCGACACTGTGATCTGTGTGGTCAGTGCTCAAACTGGTCAGTCTCAGACTCAGACTCTCAGTGGTCACAGTGCTGCACGTCCCAGTGTTAGAAATATTCCTTAAAAGTTCGAAACTACAAGAACAACTTACGTCAGTACGCGGTACGGCTCTACGAGACCCGCTCCCTTTTGGTGCCACGCTGAGCTACACTTCCGCCTGACCCTGCCTCGCCGCCTGCCGGGGACGCCACCACCGTGCCGCGAACTGCGCTCCTTGACTCCGCCTCGCCCCCGGCTGGCACCACGGTGGCGACCACATCCCCCCACTCGGCGGTGACCGTCACCTTCTCCCTCTCCGATTTCGTGCCGAGCACGAGCTGCAGCAGCATGCTGCAAAACCTCTCGGGCGAAGCGACGTGGACAGCGTGCGGCGCGCCCGGCAGCACTACCCACTGTGACCGGCGGGGGTCCTCTCGCGCGTTTCGGACGTCTCCGAACGCAAAGAATCGGTACTGCTGCTGGGCCGCGAGGCATTCGGACGGGAAGGCGTTGTCGAGCGCCCCCCACACGAGCAGCGTCGGAGGGCGACTCTTCCTCGGCGCGACGTCGCCAGAGCGGTCCAGCTGCGCGGCGAGCGAGAGGTAGCAGGAGACGTTGCGGTGGGTGGCGGGCGCGAGCACGTACGGCGTCGCAAAGCTGCCGCCGGCCGACGCCGCGACGATGGCGACTTTCCTGTCGCCCCAGCCGAGCGCCTCGAGCAGCCGCGCCACAAAGGTTCGCCGGTCGGAGGTCTCCGCCGCCGCCTCCGCGCCGACCGCCCGCTCGCTGATCTCGGGCAGCTCCGGCGCCACGGCCCTCACACCCCGCTCGGCGAGCCGGTCGAGGGCGCCGACGATCGCCCAAGTCTCCGGCTTGCTGCCGTAGCCGTGCAGCAGCAGCACGCGTCGCGCAGCCGCCGGCGGGCCGGCGACGAGCACCCGGACCGCCCTCCTCTCCCCTTGGACGCGCAACGCCTCCTCCTCGACGAGCCGCTTCCTCGCCTGCTGGCTCGCTGCGTACCGCCGTCCGAGCTCGGCCTCCGCCTCGCCGCCGTCGGAAGAGAGCTGGACCAGGCGCGAGCCGCGCAGCAGCCGCACGAACTGCAGCGCCGCGTGCCCGCGCCCGAAGCGCCGCGGCAGCCCCGCCGCCCGCGGCGCCTCGCCCGCCACGAAGCCGGCCGCCTCGCCCTCGAGGAGGAGCGCCACAAAGTCCTTGAGCACGGCTTCGCCACAGCCGGCGCGCGAGCACGGCAAGTACTCCGCCTCGACCACCGTCCCGCCGACGCTCGCGTTGAGGAAGAGGCCGCCGAGCCGCACGATGAAGTCGCCGAAGCGGAACTCGGCGCCCTCGGCCGTGATGCGCAGCCGCTGCGAGTGGGTCTCGCCGAGCGTGCTCTCGCCGAGGGTGCACGCCTCGACGCCGGCAAGGTCGCCGAGCCTCTCCTGCACCGTGCCGGCGCGGCAGACAAAGTACACCTCTGGCCTCTCGGAGTAATGGAGGACGCACACCTCCTCGAGCGGCGGCTCGAGCGGCGGCGTCGGCGCGATCTCAGCGGCGTCGGCGGACGGCGCTGCCGCCGCCACCTTCGGCTTGAAGTAGAGGCAGTGCGTGCGCCAGCGGCCGGCGCGAGTGCAGCCGATGGCGCTCAGCCGCGCCGAGAGCGCCGCCTCGCGGGCACCGGGGAGGTGGACGAGGGCGCAGACGCCCATATACACGTATATACCTGGCTGGCGATAGAGGCTCTGGTCAAGAGAGTGCCGCTGTGGCGCCGCCGTTTCTAAGCCTTTCCTCACCCCTCACCCACCCCATGCCGTGGTTTCTTCCGGCCGGCACTCAAGCCAGAGCCGGCCCGAAGGATTTTTAGGTAAGAGCTAAGAGGGGTAAGCTGCGGTCCGCGAGGGCGATGCCAGAGTCTGCCGCCGAGTCGGCTCTCTGGATGACGGGAAGTAGGAAGACGCACACACGCCTCCATCCACTCCACTCAGAACACCGCAGACTTGGAAAAAGTGACAAGTGGTCAAGTGCGCGCGCCGCAGGCGAAGAGAAAATTTGAGCTGGGGCTCCCGTTCACACTCGTGTCTGACCTTTTCTCGGGGCCGCGCCTGCGGCGCGCCGTGGTTTCTTAGATTTTTGCGAAAATCGCTCGGCGTGGTTTCTTAATGGTAAGGTTTCTTAATGCCCGCAACCCACTGTGGTCCCTATCTAGATACTCCGGAGGACTCCCCGAGTTTTTTTCTAAGGATACCCATCACCGCGTTGGTGTCCAGTCCGAGCCTGGCTGTTCTTCACCTTTCTACCTACCTACCATCACTGAGCCGACAATGCTACGGGTAGCCCCAGGGTGGCGCCCACCCCCATACCCTCGGGCACTTGCCTGCGCCCTCACGCGCTAGCCCACGCCCTGCCCCGCAAGATCTCACTCCATCCCGGCCTGCGGCATACCTCGGCATCCCCTTGCACGGAATCTGAGCGTGAGGGAATCTGAGCGTGAGGGAACCTGGGCAGTGCCGCGTAGTGCGGCGTGCGCGCGGGCGTGCGCGCGGGCGTGCGCGTGCGTGCGCGTGCGTGCGTGCGCGTGCGTGCGCGCACGTGCGCGCACGTGCGCGGGCGGGCGCGTAGTGCTGCGTAGTGCCGCGTAGTGCCGCGTGCGCGCACGTGCGCGCGCGTGCGTGCGCTGTGTGCGCGGGCTGGGCGCGCGCGTGCGTGCGCGGCATGCGCGGCCAGGGCGCAGGCAAGTGCCTGAGGGTATGGGGGTGGGCGCCACCCTGGGGCTACCCATAGCATCGTCGGCTCAGTGATGGGTGTTCCTCTCTCTGTCTGGTGTCTGGTAAAGGACTGAAGGTCGCGGCTCGTGCGTCTTGGGCCCATGTGTTTCTGCTTGAAGGTCGCCCTTTCGCGCCACGTCCTACCTCCTACGAGTAGCCTTCCGTGGGACTCGGCGTTGGCGTTGCATGTCACATTTGGCCCCAATTGAAGGAGGAGAGCGGCCATAACAGGTGTTATGGCTGTTATGGCTGGCTGCTTATAACACCCCATAACACCCCATAACACCCCATAACACCTCCATCACTGTTATGGCTGTTATGCCCACCCTACCATAAGCATAACACCTCATAACACCTCATAACACCTCATACAGTAACACTCATAACACCTCCCACTGGTTGTTATGACATTTTGATCGCCCAGTCCCACGATCTGCCCTTTTCATAAGCCTCACGCAAGCAGCAGTAGCACACACGGAGGGGGCGCACCGACGTCTTTGCTGAGCTAGGCGCCAAGATTGAGGGCGTCGTGCTGCTTTGTGTCAAAGCGGTATCCGAGACAGAGGCGTCAGACGCCATTGCCATCACCTACACACCCTCCTTGACGAACGCGTTCTCCTTCAGCCACGCGGCAAGCTGCGCGTCATCCATGTTTGATCCGGAAAGGAGTGCAGGGCATCAGCAACGGAAAGCAGCAACATCCATCGATCGCGCGAAGAGAGGACGTGCGCCTCTAACTACTAAAAAGCGGGAGCAGCCAGCTTTTCCACTTTTTAGAAACCTCGAGACATGTTGCACATGTACATGTGCATGCAGTGAAAGAAGGAAAGAAAAAGGACGTGAGTTAAATTGCGGGAAAGACAAGTACGAGTTAGAAACGTGAAGCAAATTGCGTGAAGGGGAGGGAAGGGAGGGTCTTGATTATACAATCTGAAGCCATCGCTCAGCCTCAGGAGGCAGGTTGATGTTATTGAATTTTACTTGAAAGAGAAAATGTTTGGCGGTCGATGCCGAACCTCGCTTCGCGCGCTGCGTTCTCTCGGACTGTCCGTGCGTGTGATCAGTGTGTGAACTGATCTGGGGCCGGGCCGCGGCGGCGCGGGGTGTGTGGTCATTGTCTGTCTGAGGGAGGGTGTAGAGGATGTAGAGTGTAGAGCGCTGTAGAGCTGTAGAGATGTAGAGCGCTGGAGAGCGCTGTAGAGCTGTAGAGCTCTACATCCGCCGCGTGACGATGTGAGTCGCCTGTAGAGCGATGTAGAGGCGCTCTACAACGTGAAATCTCTACAACAAACTCTACATCATAAGCGGCGAACGAGAGGCACGGTCGCTCTCCGACATGAGGCGCGTTGCACTTGCCAGTGCTGCCCTGGCCTTCTGTCTGCCCGCCCAATGGGTGGCAGGTGCCTCTGCTGCTGTGGCATGCCTCACGGCTGCGACTGGCCGGCGCCTCGGCGCGTCAGCTCGGCTCGGCGTAGCGATAGTGGCCAGCGCAACTCGCCTGGACTCAACGCTCAGCCAGGAGCTCCCGCACGCGCTGGCGCGAGTCATGGCGCATGCAACGCGTCTGAATGCTCGCCTCGCCTCGCGCAAATGCGACCGTCCTCGCAGCCGACAGTCCACCGCCTGCTAAAGAAGCACAGCGACGAATGCGGCAACGGCGACACATGGCAGGCTGGTCATGACGCAGTCATAGGGTGTTGTGTGCCGTCAGAGTGACTCTCTGTGTGTCAGGGATAGTCAGGGCCGTCCATCAGAGCTCCAGTAAGCTCGGAGACACCCCATTAGCGCGGCTCGACCTCTTTGAGTCACTGCCTTCCCGGCGGTTTGGCTGTAGAGCCTCTACAACAAACTCTACAGCAAAATCGCGCTCTACATCGCTCTACAGGCGACTCACATCGTCACGCGCCGGATGTAGAGCTCTACAGCTCTATGTAGAGCTCTACAGCTCTACAGCGCTCTACATCTCTACAGCTCTACAGCGCTCTACACTCTACATCCTCTACACCCTCCCTCAGGTTATTGTTGTGCGCGCGGCTCTTTCTCTCGTCTTCATCTTGTGCTGTGTGTGCAGATTGTGTAGTTTTCGAAGCCGGAAGCCTCCATGACAGAAACACCGACAGAGACCGGCAGGGACAGCGACACACACGGTACGGTAGATACAAAGATCTCATGATGACGGAAAATGCGGTAATCTACACGTCCTCGTCCCCTTTCGCCTTGCTGCCGCCGGCGAGCTCCATAATCTGCCTCGCCCCCAGCCCGAGGGCGACGCGTGCCTCGGTGGAGGACAGCGGCTGGGAGCGGTGCGTCCTGCTCAGGATATAGGCAGCGGAGAGGACGGCGCCGAGCAGGGCGACGAAGAGCGCGCCGAACACGATCGCCAGCCAAAAGAGCAAGCCAGGCTGCCATGCGCTGCCGTCGCCGCCGCCCCTCTCGCGCGGATCTGCCGCGTCGGCCCCAGCCAGCGCGGCGCCCGCCGCGCCCATCGCCGGAGCGGGGAGGAGGTCGAGCGGCGGCGGCGCCGCCCGCCCGCCGGACGCCGCGGCGGAGGCCGCCAGCTGCTCGGAGGGGCGCCGGGCGGGCGCGTGGTCGACGGGCGCGAGGTCGCAGCACGGCGTGTACCGCGCGGTCTCGCTGGAGGGCGCCTGCGTCGAGGAGCGCAGGTAGACGTTGCGGATGCGGACGTAGTCGCCGCGCTGCTGCTGCTGGTGTGGGTGCGCGTAGTAAAGCTCGAGCCGGTCCATGTTGTCCCACGGCGTAAGGCGCGGGAACGAGTAGTGCCGGTCGCGGATGGGCAGCACGAGCGGTTGCCACGTGTGGGCGCGCCAGCCGCCGGCGGGCGGCGGCACGACGAAGGTGAGGCCCAGCTTGTTGTTGTCCTTTGTGTACTCAAAGGTGGCGAGCGCGTGCGACTCGTTGGAGACGTACACCTCGAGCTCGATCGAGGCGTTTGGCGTGACGCGCCCGTCCCAGCCGATGAGGGAGGAGACGTTGTACGTCTGTAGCTGCAGCTTGCGCTCGGGCCCGAACTGGCCGAGGATGCCGAAGCGGTTGGGCTGCAGGTCGAAGCGGCAGGTGCGCGTGAAGAGCGGCACGCACCGGTCGGAGCCCACCCGCATCCACCACAGCGAGCGGGGCGCCGCCGCGCTGCCGTCGGCGCTCTCCGCGAATGCGACGGCGCGGCGCGAGGCGCGGCGCTCCAGCAGGGCGGAGAGCGGAGAGTAGCGGTTGAGGAGGAGCGTCGAGGCGGCGGCGCACGCGGCGAGCTCGACGCTCGGCCACTCTGGCAGCCGGATGTCGAGGCCGAGCAGGGCGACGACGTCGCCGACGTGGCGGAACTCGGAGCGCAGCTCGTTGGAGGCGCGCTCGGCGAGCCGCTCGGGCAGCGCGCGCCCGCCGTCGGCGAGGATGAGGATCGGGTCGCGCGGCGGCAGGCGCGCGAGGTTGGCGCGCAGCACCGCCTCGCTCACGTGGCACGAGTAGCCTGCAGACGACAGCTCCTTGACCCACGCGCGGCCGGCGGGCTGGTGCGACTCGGCGTCGAAGGCGTCGCACGCGGTGCTAGGGAGGCGGAGCGTGTTCGGGGCGCCGCCGCTGTCCTGGGAGAGGTGCGGCACCGAGTGCGCGGCCGGCCCCGCCACGTCGACCACCTGGTGGACGTGCCGAGGACGCGTCGTGGACGTGTCATGGGCGTGGGGTGGCGCCACGCCACAACGGCCACCGCGTGTGGCGCGCTCGTGTCCGCCTCGTGCGCGTCGCCAAAGGAGGCCGAGTCGGGCGTCGGCGTGAGCGGCGCGCGCGACGAGACCACCGCCGCGTCGAGGTGCGAGAGGTGGATGCACGAGAAGGAGCCCGTCTCAGCGGCGAGCCGCGCGATGATGCGGCCCGCCTTGCGCGTCGCCTCCTCCGAGTCGGACGTGGACAAGGCGGCGGGCAGCTCGTCCGCAAACCAGGCGGCGAGCGGCGAGCCGGGCGGGAAGCCCTCAAAGGCGGCGTACAGGTGGGAGAAGGCGAGCACGGGGGCGCCGCAGCCGCCGTAGAGGCGGCGGTAGTCGGCGGCGGCGCACATCTGCGATGGCATGTGGATGGCGGAGAGGTTCGACCAGCCGGCGACGGCGTCGAAGTAGGCGCGCGAAGGGAGCAAGTGCGGGTCCTTGACGTGGAGGAAGAGGAGGCAGTCGGGCGCGAGGCGCAGCTGCAGAAAGTCGTCCACCTGCGGAGAGCGCCCGCTGTGTGCGCGCGGGGCTGCGGTGTGCCCAGCGGCTGCGAGGCCGGGCGGAGAGGGCGGTGTGTGTGTGTGTGTGTGGGTGGTATGTGTGTGTGTGTGTGTGTGTGTGTGTGTGTGTGTGTGTGTGTGTGTGTGTGTGTGTGTGTGTGTGTGTGTGTGTGTGTGTGTGTGTGTGTGGTGTGGGTGGGGGGGGGAGGGCCTCGAGCAGGGCGCCCGAGTAGCCCGCGAGCGTGCCCGCCGCCGCCATAGCGCGCCGCAGCGGCGCGAGGTCGAAGATGGCGGAGAAGCGCATGCGCGAGTCGAGCTTGCCGTCCCAAAGTATGTGAGGCACCACGAGGGTGCGGTGCAGCGCGGCGGCGATGCCGGCGGCGTTGCGCAGGGCGACAAAGTACTCGCCCAGCCCGGAGGGCGGCTGGAAGACTACGTACCGGCCGGAGAAGGGCTTGCTCGAGGCGGCGGACGCCGCCGCCGCGGCGGCCGCCGCCGCCGCCCTCGCCACCTCGGCCTCGGCAGCCGCAGCCTCCACGGCGAGCGGCGTCGAGGAGGGCGGGGCCGAGGAGGCGGCGAGGTTGAGGTTGGCGAGGTTGAGGTTCGCGGGCTGGAGGGCCTCGAGCGAGTGCGCGATGGAGCGCGGCACGAGGGCGGGCAGAACCTCGATGGCGCACGAGCCAACCGCCGGGTCGGCCGGCGAGGGCAGGCCTGCCCACAGGTCGGCGAGCGCGGCGTAGGCGGGCAGCAGCGCCGGGTTGCCCTCGGCGGCTGCGCGGTGGTGGCCCCACCACCGCACGCTCTCGGTGAAGGCGAAGCCCGCCTGGACAAGCCGCTCGGCCGAGCGCCGCTCGTGCTGCAGGTCGAAGACGCCGAGCCGTGCGAAGGAGGGGAGCTCCGCCATGGCGCGCTGCACGGCGTTGGTCTGCGAGGCGAGGACGAGCGGCACCGTCTTGAGCGGGTCCGTGTCGCGCCGCAGCGAGGTGGCCTGCGGCGGGGCGGGGAGAGATGCGGCAACACTAGGGGCGCTTCGGGCAGATCTCGCCCGGCCGTCGCCCGGCTGCCTCTCGGCTGCCTCTCGGCTGCCATCTCGGCTGCCATCTCGGCTGCATCTCGCGGCGATCCCTCGCCTGGATCGCCTCCTCGCGCCCGTCCTTTGCAGAGTGGCCGCCCCGCTCCATAAAGGTGGTCGAGAAGGAGCGCTGCAGCCGCAGGTTCGGGTAGAGCATCGTGAGGCCGCGGCCGTACATGAAGTCGATGAGGAACCGCTTCCAGCTGCGAGGCCACACGTTGGAGCGCGAGGCGGGCAGCCGCACGTGCGGGTCGCCTACTCGCGCCAGCACCACCCGCGTGACGGACGGCTGCACAGAAGAGCCCTGGCTCCGTGCCGCGCGGCCCGCTCGCCGAGCGGCTCGCGGTGCTTGCCGACGCCTCGCTGCGCCGCCTCCTGCGCAAAGTCGAAGAAGGGCGGCCGCACGCGCAGCGCGTAAAACTTGAGGAAGTCGCGCCAGTGCGAGCCGAAGAAGAGGGCGCCCCACGAGCACGGCACCTGCGGCGGCGCCGGCCGGGAGGCGGGTGTCGAGAGGCGGTGGCACTGGCGGCGGCGGGGTGCGAGGGCGGGTGCGGGAGGGCAGCGGCAGGAGGGGTCGCGGCGCGGGCGGCAGGAGAGGCGCCCCCACCTGCAGCAGGAAGGCGGGCGCACGCTCGTGCACCTCCGGCAGCCACTTGACTTGCGGGTAATGAATCTCGTTGAGCCGCGGAGTGTAGAGCGAGATGCCGACGAGCCGCCGCCGCCGCATCAGCGTTCCGTCGCCGATCGGGCCGTAGGAGCGCGCCGCGCGCAGCAGCCACCAGTAGAAGAGCGGCGACACCTGAGGGGACGTGTCGTGGACGTGTCGTGGGCGTGTCGGGCGCTGTCCCTGCCGTCGCGAGCGGAGGCGCGGCACCTCGATGTCGTCCTCGAGCGGAAGGATGTGCTCGTCGTCGCGGAGCTCGCCGGCGGAAGCCAGGCTCGAGCAGTTGATCCACATCCCGCGGATCCCGAGCGACGCCACCGGCGCGGGGCCGTCGTCCGCAACCACCAGCCGCAAGGGCCCATGTCGCCACTCGACGCCGCGCACGTACTCTCGCACCGCCGCCAGCGCGCCGCCGTCGACCATGATCGTCAGCGGCATCGTGTGGCCACAGTACTCGGCGGCCAGCAGCGAGTCGACCAGCCGGCGCAGCGAGGCGAGTCGTCGCCACGCAAACACGAAGATGGCGATCTTTGGCCGCGGTGCGCCGACGGCAAACTCGGGCAGGTCGCACACCGAGTCGACCGACTCGATGCGCTCCTCGCCGTCGATCGAATGCGGCGGCGGCGTGTGCAGCGTCGAGCTCCCCTCGCCTGCCAGCAGCAGGCTGCCTTCCTGCTCGCCCTCACCCTCATCAGCGTCGGAGGAGAGCGCAGACGGCGCGGCGCTCTGGTCCTCGGGCCCGAGAAAGAAGAGGGAGAGCGAGAGGAGAAGAAGAAGGACGATGGCCAGACTCTGCTGCCTGGACTGCATCGAACGGTCGTCGCAGCGGCAAGGCAGCCGCGACGACCGGGTCCCGCGCTGAGGGTAAAGGGGCGCGCCGTTAAGGTCCAGGCCGGCGTCCCCTTCTCCTAGCTCTCGGGCCGCGCCTTCGCTCCTGTCGGGAGGGTGCTGTCTTTCTTTTGTTAGCCTTCGGCTGTGAAAGAGTTCTTTTTTTTAAAATTCTTTTGTTAGTTTTTGGCGATTTTCCGGTGACTCTGCAGACAGGGTTTGCGATGATTACTTGTGGTTTGGTGGACGCGATAACAACGGAGAGAGCGAGGTACACGACTGTCGCGCCGTCTCAACTGTCCTGGCTCCTGCTAACCTATCCGTGATGTGATTGCTGCCTGTGTTTGTTCGTAACATCGAAGGCGCGCTCACAAAGGTGAAACCCGCTCTGCTAGCACTTGCCACACACCCCGCGGGGGCCCTCAGCACCCCACTTCGTCACGCCTCGCGCTGTCGGTGGGGTCGCACCGGGCCTCCACAGGTTTCACGCGTTAACGGTTAACACCACAGCCCCTCGGGAGGTGTTGATGTACTAAGTAGAGGTTGGGTGTGCACTGCACCAGTGGCCAAGTTGCGCGGTACTGCACGCATGCGTGGGCACTGCCGTCTCTCAAAACCATGACCTCCGTCAACGCATGCCTGGGCGGCACCAGTGGCCACTGCCGCCCAGGCATGCATGGGCACTGCAGCCTCCCCCCGTACCCGCCCGGACTCCCTCAGGTTGCGCGCCAGTTGCTCCTTCCGCCTCGGAGACCGCCTCGTCACCCCCCTCATGTGGGCTGCTTCACCGCTCTCCCCGATCCCCGCCGCCTCCCCCTCTTCC